TACTTGACTAAGAAATACATATATGCATCCACCATTGCCCATATAGATCTGTTATATAGTATTATAATACTTAGTTAAACATATAATCTGCATTGTCACGCTCGTGACGAAAACAAGCACTTTAGAAAACCACAAATGACTTGAGAAAAGGCGTTTGACAAATGGGATTGTTTGTTAAAATATTCTTTCTAGAAATCAAACAATAGGAGTTTTGAATGGTATTTATGGGACGGAAGTAGTTCTTTTACTTACCCTATATTTCAATATTCTAAACACCCAAAATTCCTTCCTTTTACTGTTCTGTGAGTCAGGTTACGCATTGACCCACATAAGGCGCATGTGATTCATATGTTAGTGATTTTCTCAAAATACAGATGTTTATTTTGCCAATAGTAATTTATACCTTTACGCATTTCATTCCTCATCATACCAGTTTACACCTAGCATATCCTTTGCTGTAGAAAACAGGAAGCAAAGCGGGTAAAATTGTGATCATTGGACCTTGTCCAGTACGAATATTTATTTTGTTATTCCCCATCCGATCCCCTTTGAAAAGCATTACAATTGATATTCTGTAGACTGTTTGATAGTCGAATGAATCCCTGCTATTTATTATGCTATAACTAAAAGCATAACAAACATCATTCTATACATAACAATGCGCAACTCATTGACCAACGAAGTCGTTCTCCCAATTTTAGTTCTCCAGAATGATCGCCTTTTTTCTACCATCCCACCGCGTCGCCCAGAAGATCTGGTGAACCATATGCCGTCTCCCAATCGCCAAAAGGAAAATATTGAATAAAATATTCGAAAATGGATTTTGTTATAGCATCAAACCATGTTTATAGTAAAAATAGTGAGTATAACAATACATGGTGTTGAATGTTGTGAGACTGTTGTGTTTTTTTGGTATAAATACTCGAATCTTTATTGTCTATTGTTATTGTACATTTTAAAATGTATATTACCTAGAAAATTCTGTTTCATTTTGTGCTGTGACGTGACTCATTTAATCATGAACTATACGTATTGTGAATCAAATACCTACTTCAGTTCCCTCAAACCGTAGCCTACTTGGGACATGAGACTTGTACATGACGGACAGTAATGGAAATTCAATCTGCTTCTTTTTGAAAAACACTTGAGTTTTTACAAAATTTGAAACTTGTTCAGTCGTTGAGGTAATGGTATTTTATTTTGATAAGTTTAGAAAAAATTCGACCTTCTGAAAATATATTTAATATTTAGCACAAGCAAGCATAGCTGGCACTGATTATGACCGCGGGCAGACACAGAACATTAGCGCCTCTTGTGTAAAAGATAATAAGTTTATCCTGGTTTGATTAAACGAATGAACTCGAGCATGCTTTACGGGAGTGAGTGGTAGTGTTTTAATCCAGCAAGCAATGCCATAACATGTAGACAAAATATTTTCTCAAATTTATTGTTTTGAAATGAGGCGAGAAATTACCAATCAGATTTTGCATGATAGACTATCAATCACTAGTAGGCCTATACAATCTTATTACAAAAGCAGTATGCTTCATCTAACATACCATAAAGTAGTCTTCGTCTGAGCATGAGATTAAATATATCGCATACTTTACACGACATGGTATGCGCATAGGTGACACGCAAAAATATTTATAAATAAGGTAACTAACTTTACATGCATGGTCCTTATGCATGTGGGTTTGCACAAAAAATATGGATGATTTATAAATTGCATTTGATTGAAATACCTGTTACCGGTAAGCATTTTACATTCAAATTAAATTCGTATTTGTTTCAAGCATTTAAGGTGTTAGAAAGAAGGTATCTTCGAAAATTTTCATTAACTCATGAATCTTTAAACACCCTAATTACTGATATATCCCATAAAAATTGCTTCAATTTTAATGCAATATCATGAAACCTATAATAAATAGGCACTAGAGAGTTTTATGAAATATAAGCAATCACATGAAATGAATTCCTAAAATAAATAAACTATGAAAATATTGCCGAATGAGGTTATCCAACAATCAAATTGGATCGTTTTTTTTTTTTTTATAAAAATCGATGAAAAAAAAAATATATATAATATTTTCACCATCCGGTGTTACCTTCCGTGACAGTGGGAATACATTCCGTAGATCAAAATAAATCAATCAAAAATGTTGCCTTGGCAACGTATACAAATATCGTCCAATCCAATATCAATTGTTATTTTTGGACAAATAATAATCTCCTCACCGGGAGAACTTCATTACACCGCGATTGTGTTGGTGACAATATGATATATCCGCCCCCTTATGCGATAATAATTGTATTTTTAGAAAAAGCCAGGGTGCTTGACCTCGGTTTATATCATATAATTTCAACACAGTAGAGAGCGAATTGTTAATTTAACCAATATTCTGAAGCTTCGTATATATATTATGGAAAGCGAGATATTTGGCAAATATCAGCTATCGAACAGGTCTTAACAAACCTTTAATGCTCATAATATAAGCAGTTATGTTGTGGTAACTATATTACATACTGTATTGAAATTATAGAATATGAAATACTTTACAATAACTAGAAAATTTGGATATTGGTTTTATGCTTGATATATATTTGTTACATTTCTGTTATAATGTAATAAATCACAGAAGTTGAACCAAAATAAATTGTTCATGACAACCAAAGAGGTGCAGCTATACAACTGATCCTTTATTTTATACAATTGATGAATAGGACATTCATTGAGTGTCTAGTTGGTTTGCAATATCGTGGTTAAGACGTTATGGGGATGGATAGTATTCAACACAAGATACTGTCTCTTTTGATATTGATAAACTTTTTTATCTACTTCACGTATTTAGTGTCAAAAAGAGACAAACTTTCTTGAAAAAACGTATTCGCAAAATCAATAAATATAAACGTAGACGAAAAGAATCTTGCAAAAATTTTTTTTATTTTTATTGGAAGCACACTGGAAGTTTTTCCAAAATCAAATGTCAATGAAATGAAAAAACTTCAAGTATTATGAAAAAACTACAAATTACATTAGTATATTCCAACTAACATTGAAGTTTTGGAAAAAAAGTACAATAATCACACATCTTTGTATTCAGATAGTTTAAATTTGAATAACTGCTCTGTTTGTATATATTAGTTGTTTTTATTAAAGACACTCTAATCAAAAACATGGCGGTTGTCCTCTCAAATATTCACACATCAAGCAAACCGTCACAATAACGCATAAATTTATATCACATATCAAACGAAAATGAAAAATCAACTTTTGAATACAAAATAAACATCATGATCCCCTGGGTGGGAAATTTCGACACATATCCGACTCCTTCGCACGCTAGTAGCTGTATACACTAATCAAGTACGGAGAGAATTATGAAATATAATTTTAAAGATCAGTTAATACGAGTACTTTGCTTGATCAAGAATAATTTTTTTCAATCATTTTTAAAGGCTTGACTGCGGGAGGGATACCGCAGATAAAGAGGATGAAGAGTTTGTGATTATTGGTATACCCGCAATATCACTTGGTTTAAGTGATCGGATTTTCTTTCAATTGTAGTTTCTACTTTGTATGTAATATGATATTTATCTTGAATATTATGAAAAAGAATAATGGATGTTGTAAATTTGAAATTGTTTTTTCTTATCCCATTCTAAAGACGTAATATATATGTCGCAATGACATTCATAGTTGTTATTCACGTACCCGTCTTTATTCAACGAAAACAACTAGCTCCACAACATCATCTAGCGAGACAAACTCCAAGACTAGTTTACACTGACAATCACAAAAACACTGACTATATCTTCAAAGATCAAGATATAAAGAAACTACACTATATCATTATGTTTGTTCTGTAAAAATATTAATGATTTTATATATATATAACTTTGCTTATTACATGTGAATTTTGAGTTATGGCAAATTGACCATAAACCCGAACTTGTTGCCAAAATTTGCCCATGTACTTGGTGTGGCGTGGAAGCATTTAAAATCAAGCGTAAACTGATCAGATGTCCCATTTGCTAAATTTCGTTAGGGACCTACTATTTAATTAGCGTGTTAGTGAAGCACCAACTCTCTCGTAAAAGGAGAAATTGGAATTCACAAATATTGTAAATATTCGAGAGGAATTTTTTGAGAGAGTTTTTTCAAGACAAATCAGACGTCTCGTAAAGTACCTTGTTCACACATTTTCTCAAGAAATTGCCATTCGCCAACCTTCTTCAACACGCTGGAGCGGTGGTAAACTAAGGGGGGCAAAATTTTTTCGTTAGTAGTTTGACCTATTCTTAGTAGGGATCCAAGTTGGTCCTCAGGTCAAACATGGGTGTCTCAAAAATGTCGTGTCTCGCTTGTTCCATTTGTCCTACTTGTCCCACTCGTCCCACTTGCCCCACTTATCCCACTTTTCCCACGTGTCCCACTATCCCACTTGGCATACTTGTCCCACTTGTCCGACGTGTCCCACTTGTACCCACGTGTCCCACTTGTCCCCACGTGTCCCATTTGTTCAACGTGTCTCACTTGTCACATGTGTACCACTTGTCCCACGTGCCCAACGGGACAAGTAGAACACGACATTTTTGAGACGCCGGGTCGGAAATAGGTGGTTCACGTTAAGCTCAGAACAGATCTTCAGTATATTTATAGTAACGTGCATTTTGATATTATTAGCAATAAAAATTCCAAAACAACTACGTTTAATGTAAGTATTTCTTCTGCTCCAAATTTTGAATGAATGCGGGCTCTAGAGATTTTTCGGAGTGCCAAACCCATTTGCATCAGTTTTCAGTTATTTATGAACTCCAATTCATGACTATTTGATGTCTGAATTTACGACCGACACTTCCAACTTCAAATGGAAGTTCTGAATACTGACTCGGAGATGTTCAGAAAACGAATCCCAATACCTGGACAATTCTCTAACCTTCTCAGCCAATTTGTCGGAAACCATCGATAAACGCACATATAAAAATGAAAAATAAACTGAACATTCAAATAAATTTATTGCTCAACTTGCAGTCAACAAACTCAAAAATACAAAAATGAATTCAGACGCATAAAATGTAATGGTAAGGTTCGCAAGCAACCTGGAATTTGAGAGAATTGAGTCGGTGAATATTATGCTCACGAGTCACGCACGACCCATTGTATTTTACAAAGCTGCTCCCAAAACGTGTGACATCTTGGTGCCTGCAAATATTCATCTGTAATCAAGTAATGAATCATAGCCATACGGCCGGTATGAAGCCCCTGACCTAAAATCACGATCGGAGTTTTAATAATGTAATACATTGATATTTTCAAGTGCGAAAGGTTCTGGCGCGTTTTTTCAAACCGGGCCCGCAGTTCCAAATTTAAGCTTCTGGGGCCTAAAATTGTAGTAGATAGTTGGAACAAAAATTTGTAATATACCATGATAGTCAATGTATTTGCCGAAATGTACGGTTTAATATTTTACTCGGAATTAAGAGACAATTCGGAGTCAAAGGTTTTAATCTATTGAAATAAACCCCTTTGACTCCACTAACTTGATATAAACTATATATATATATATATATATAATAATATGTTTGGGGATATAATTATCATTGTTCACTAAAAATATTGATATTAACATTTGTTGCATGTTTTCTTGCAATTTCGAATAACATAAGTATTAGAAGAGCAGTATGATCTCCAGCCTGTACACTGTGCGTCTTCATCGGAGCAAGAAGACCCTAAAATTAAAAACAAAATTTAATATAGTTTTAAAAAAAATAACCAATTATATAATCTGAACGGAAAGTCCCATCTGTTGCGTGATTTGCAATAGACGACGAATGATGAAAAGATCCTGATTTCAATTTATTATGGTCTAGTTATTACTTAAGGCCGAAAACAAATTCAAAAAGTCTGGCATATTGAATCGATGCTATAAAATTTTCAATATATTTGAAATATTTGTAATTTATGGACAATTTTTACATAAAAAATAGAAAGAGGAAAATCTCAGTCAAATTAATAAACTCCTACTCATAGACGTAAAATTTTATGAGTGTCACTTTGGATGCGATCTCATTTGCTCAACGTGATCTCAATAGCATATCAGAGTGGCGCCAATTGTGGTGCCACTTTGGTATGCATTTAATCTCATATAAAGACATTCTGATAGAATCCAGTTTCTAAGCCTAAATACATCAATGAGATCACAAGACTGCTGAGATTGCATACCAAAGTAGCACCAATATTTGTTCTAGAACAAAACTCTCGGTTTAGCTTTTATTATACAGTAGTTCAAGTGCTCCAAACCTGAACATTCTTTACAACTCTTTCTGCATTTGTCTTTCATATAGACGGGGTTCCTTTCACATTCACCGATACTAGCCCAATACGAACAAGAATGGTTCTCGTCCAAGCAGACCTTTGGCGGATTAGTTGTGGTAGTAGGTCGTCTGGTTGTAGTAGTGGCTGTCTTGGTAGTAGTAGTAGTGGTTGTCGTAGTAGGTTTGGTTGTGTTGGGGGAAATGGTTGTCCCTGCAGTTATTATGAAAGTATATGTTTATTTATTACATTATTTCCGTACGTTAATGTTTTTCGTATAAAGTTGAGCTCATGATGATTATACTCAAACCAAATAGCGTTTGTAAAATATAGTTCACAAAAAGTGTCAAATCGTACCAGGGGGCTTGGTTGTACAGGCTTTACAACTTTTCCTACAAAGAGCCAACATGATATCTGGACTTTTTCGACATTCGCCATCTGCTGCCCAAGTACTGCATGACTCTTCCATATCAGTACATGGAACTGGGTTTGTTGTTGTTGCTGACGATGTTGTTGACGGTGCGACAGTAGTTACAGGTGATGTCGTTGAAGAAGCTACATTTTTGTGAAAATGCATGAACAGAGTTTTTGTACAATAAAGCATAGGTTAAAAATTATTTCAAATCATTAGATTTTGAAATTCACAAATTTATTAGTGACTTACTTGCGGTCAACTTAAAAAACAGTTCAATTAACATTGATATATGTCTGGTGAGTTTATCTGACAAAAATAACGTTAAAAACGTTTTCATCCATTTTGGTTAATTATATAATCCCTTCAATTTAATTTTTGAAACCTTGGTGGATTAGTTATAATAGTAGGTTGTCTAGTTGTAGTAGTGATCTTGGTTGTCGTAGTAGGTTTGGTTGAAGTGGTGGGATTGGTTGGTACTGTAGTTATTGTGAAAGTACATGTTCATTCGTGTATTTAAACACTATTTCAGTTCGTTAATTTTTTCCTGATAAAGTCGAGTTTATAATGTTTTACTCAAACCAAATAGCTCAAAACAAATTTCGAATCGTAAAAAATAGCAAAATTGTTTATTATCAAGAAAAATTTGCTGTGTTGATGATCAATGTTTTATGGTCCTAACATCTTCAATAGGCATACAATATAGGAATCATTATTAATAATTTTTGTTGAGTGTTCAAAACACTTGTATCGTACCAGGTGGCTTGGTTGTACAGGCTTTACAACTTTTCTTACAAAGGACCAACATGATATCCGGATTTTTTTGACATTCGCCATCTGCTGCCCAAGTACTGCATGACTCTTCCATATCAGTACATGGAACTGGGTTTGTTGTTGTTGCTGACGATGTTGTTGGCGGTGCGACAGTAGTTACAGGTGATGTCGTTGAAGGCACTACATTTTTGTGAACATGCATGAACAGAGTTTTAGTACAATAAACCGAGGGTATAAAAATGCTTTCAATTTCTTAGATTTTGAAAATCCACAATTTTTACTATTGACATCTTACTTACCTTAAAATGCAGTTCAATTAACATTGATAGATGTTTGGTGAGTTTACCTGACAAAAAGGCGTTGAAATGTTTTCACCCCTATTAGTTAATTGTTAATGCCTCCGATTAAATTTTTTACCCAGAATATACTCACGGAAAGCCATACATAATTTATTGTAAATAGCTCATGAACCGATGCTACGCCTGCTACTATAGGTACATATACCACAAAAAACTCGCCGTCTAAAAAGAAGTTTAATGTTGGAAACGAACTGCTCTGGTTTGAATATTTATTAATACCTGAACAAGAGTTACAACTTTTTCTGCATTTGTCTTTCATGTAATCCGGATTATTCTCACATTCGCCCATACTAGCCCACTGGGCACAAGAAACGTTCTCATCGAGGCATGGTTTATTCGTACCAGACGTCGTTTGTTTAGTAGTCGTGGAAGGTTTGGTTGTTCCTGAAAATGACAAAGTATTTGAAAAATACCAATACAATACAAATACTGCAGCACAAAAAGTTAACGTTCCTGTTTTCTAGATTCGTTTTAGACTTCTTTGTTTAATTGTTAATCTGTAAAATTAATAAAAATAAAACAGTTGTATATAGTAGAAAAAGATATTATTGCAACAAACCAGGTGGCTTTGTTGTGCAAACTTTACAGCTCTTTTTACAGATGATTAACATAATTTCAGGATTTTTCTGACATTCTCCTGAAGCCGCCCAGTTAGAGCAGGATTCCTCGTCATCAGTGCAAGTATCCGGACTCTTAGTAGTTGTAGGCGTTTCAGTAGTCCCTACACCTGTTCATATATCAAATTGAGAAAACCAGTAAATCATCCTAATTGCGATTTTAGGCTTAGAAATGTGCAACATAGTTGGTGTGGGTAGGCTCAATACACAGGTAGCGCAAACTTAAATATTATTTGATAGTTTGGCACTGCCCAAAAATAGCTTATTTTTTCAAAATACGGTTCAGACCCGCACCTAATTTTAAAAACGAACAACTTTAACCACAAATTAACCACTGATGCGGCTCTGACGATCTTAAACTAAGGCCCTGACAAAACACACCGAAATGCAGCTAGGATGATGAAATAATAATATATATCCAAAGCTTTGATTTTGTTGTGTGAAAACATCTATTTCCCATTTTTTTAGATGTCAAGTCTAATCAAATCTATCACGGATCCACATATTTATTTCGTATGTTCAAGATTCAAAAAGATTCACAATTGTGAAACATAGATATTTAACTCTTGTATTCTACAATTGAGAATTGTATAAATATTTTTATTTAAACAAGAAAACAAGAAACAAACCATCTTTGCAATCTCTTTTCAAACTTTGTCCCAGACCTTTGCTCTGCCCGATGTCATTGCATCTGAAGTAGATTTCAAATTTTCAGTGCAAAGAACGTAGGCTACACGTTAATCTCAATCAGCTATTAATGCTTGTTTAATGATTGTTAACCCTAATTGGCCGATTACCTTGGTATATAGTCGTTGTAACATGGAAAAAGTTCATCAATAATATTGTACAAAGTTCTATCATGGCGTTTCAGTTCTTCTCTTGTGTTTATGTGGTTTTGAATTCCGTCGCCACCCACTGGTCCCTCTCGTTGTTGTTCAAAAAATGCTTGTACCCCTGAAATTGAGTAGGTGTGCAGTGTGGGTGGAGCAAATGAAACCGTTTCAATGAGTCCACTACCAATGCTATAACAAATTGGTAAAAAAGTACCGGAACTCAGCAATAAAAAGCCTGTTTTTGAAAACTACCTACATTGATATATTTTTTGAAGTTTGGATCATTTAACATTACTTGTGACCTTCACAGTTGATAAATAGGACTGGGCAATTTTGAATACTTGGTGATTTTCGAATCGAATCGGATGTTTTTTCGAATCGAATCTCGAATACTTGGGAGTCAACGGGAGATATGTAATTGTATGCTATGCGACTTTTTTATTGGTATTGGTCCTGTCAACAAATGAATTACTGAAAACATAGAATACATCACTAAGACAGGTTGAGGAGCGTTCATACGAAATGAAAAACACTTATTTATCAGTAACTCACTACAGAAAAGTATCATGTGTCTAGTCATGTGTCAGAATTGCATTGAAAAAATATGGCTCCAACAAAAAAAAATGGGTAATTCGTAATTCACCTCGACCATTGGCGGAAAAAAAACAAGATGGCGGCGATTCGAAATTTTTCTCTGAACCGATATGAATAATTTACTATTCGAATCGATTCGAATATTTGATTGGAAGTGCCCAGCCCTATTGATAAAGGGATGGAGCGAGTACATGAGTAATCAATACTCATCCAAGCAAAAGTCTTTCTCGTGGTACCGTGAAAATTTATCAATCACAATACTTACTGGAGCTCATAACTAACCTTCAGCAAAGTATTCCCTGTTGTCGGTATTGGCATATGTGTTTGTCCATAAACCCCTTGACCTGGCGTAATTGAATGAACGTTGAAGACGTGAATTAAAGTTTGGTATTGCAGTGTGGCATGCTATCAAATGAATACCATGTGCAAACTCATGCATAAAAATGTCTTGATTTCGGGCGTATCTGTCAAATAAAAAAAATCAGATTAGTAAAACATTTTATTATTTTTACTTAATCGATACACACAAGGCTAAAAAAAAGCTGATATGTGGTAGTAATGAGTCAGTTTGTAATATTTATGATCTATATAACCAATGTCTAGAACAAACAGGTAGGCAGCGGAATATAAGCATTAAATCAGAATGCCTGTGATAGGGCATCAAAAATCTTCACTTGATCTAATGTTTTTCATTATTTTTAATCTTATAAAGATATTCATATCAACTCAATATGTTTTGTTATGTTTTATATTTTAAAGTAGCGTCAAATTTAAGCAACTAGAAACTGGTGGAAACTACCTGTTGTTAATATTTTAATACATAACATTGTAACAACTTTGCAATGGAAATATTTATAATTTGAATAGTAATATCCACCCGTCCCCTCTTTCACACAACATATTCTCTTCTGCTCCAACATTTACTGGATTTTGGAATGTTCCTCCAGCTGCCCGTCGTGTCCACCAGGTGTATTGTCGCATTTCCGGTACCTGTGATAAATGATATGAAGTATATGTATGTATGTTTTCAATGTTAAGGTATAAATGAAATTCTCAAAGTCTCAAAACTCCATTTACGAATTGAAAACATAATCTTACCATTGGTACCGTCTCTCTTCTGCCTATAATTGCGACTCTTCCCTTATTGCGATACATGTGATCACGGAGGTCTTTTCTATCTGCCATCATAAACCTTACAACGTAACAAGCTCGTTGTAAGGCCCTAAAATTTAAAATTTATGTTCATATTGCTAACATAAAAAGAACAAATTCTATTCACAAAATAACAACAAATTGGTGCAACTCGAACACTAGTTAAAAGAAGCGCCACCTCGTGTCAGCAATGCATTGCAACGTACCTGTCATCTACGTTAGATGAACTCATTACGGGAATTCCATATGCACTCGTGTATTTACGATAGAAAGATGTATCAAGTCTATATCGTGAAACAGCCTCCGATGGTACACCAGTCACCTTAAACAAGCAGTGGATTAATTTTAGTGTGAGTGGAAGTGTGTACAACGATTTTAAACATATCAAAAAGTAGGTCTCATAGGTATTTTTTGATACAGACCCCACATTCACACTTAGCTATGCATATATTACAAACTTGTACGTCAAAAAGAATCTTGTCTGTAAAAAACAGTATTGAAATGATACTTGATACTTAACAAGATACTGATAGTATTCCGAGGGGAAAATATCCTCGATGAAAATGTTATGAACCATAGTAATCGCTAATAATTCCAATATACGAATGTCAGCATTAGTATGAAGCAGTTTTACAATTTTATTTCACGTTCTTATTTCTTCGAAGTTTGCGCGATACCATTGATATCATCATTTGCTAACCCTTTTCTTCAACTTTTTATGTTATGAGTTGCAACGTATTCAAATTTCCTATATTATCCCGTCAGCGTGACTATCTGATTCAGACTTAGATCTGACGTAAACTGTGCAAAACTTTGTATTGTCATTTCAAGTAAGGAATATTCAATGCAAAATACCAACCCGACTACACGTATTTCCCGTCGGTGCATTAACGTCGTCTTCTGAGTCAGGTAGTGGCTCATCGACGTCCGGAAAGTCCAATTCCATGACGAAATGCTGCATCGCAGCAATTCCTAAGAAGGATATATGATTAAGATTATCTGTCCCTGGAACAATACAACTATAAAAGGTTAGAATTCGGCCTTATTCATCATCACGGTTCAAACATTTGAATTTGAAAGTTGTACACAAAGTGATTATTGAACCTGCAAGTAATTTTTCTACATCATACTAAAAATTTCCAAAACATGATTTGTTTATATGTTCGTGTATCTGGCAAAATTCTATTTATTGACTTGAATGAAACAATAAACAATAAAAATAAACACATTCGAGAACAGACGTTGCTAGGTAAAACTCCAATTCTACTATTATGTAATGTTCATATGCACCATGCAATAAGTGCCGCGACTTTTGGGTTGGGTTATGAATTTTTGAGCATTAACAATTATAAATTGACATGATTTTTTCAACGAACTCGTGATATCTATGCTGTATGAAATATATATTTAATTCTCACAGTTCTTCTAACACTGTTTGCTGTGCAGTAGTCAAATATATAATATTTTAAACAGAATTACCAGCTCTTGCGTAGAACATAAACTTCGGAATGCAATGATCATCAATTGCAAGTGTTTCGATCGTCAATTTCCAGTATGGGGCTCTCCTTGCAAAACCACTGTACTCTTCATATAAGCCATCAATAAAGGTGACATTCTAAAATGAAATTATATAATTCAAGTTATTTCTATCCGGTTCTGAGTATTCCTACAGTATACGGCAAACTGTTTTTTACATAAGTAGAAAGGTTGATTACACGAGGCCAATACCACCATCACCATGACCGACAAAGGTATGACGATATTAATGAAACTTTATACTGACACGTACACTAATTAAAATGAGTAGACAATTATGGTCAATTGAAATAGGAGATAAACTCACGGGAACTTTAATCGTGATCCAATGGGATTGAGGGGCGTCAACCAGATTTTCATCATCACCTTTGATGAATCTTTCATCCCATACCGCTGCTGATAATCGCGCTATGACGGATGTTCCTGGATCACATTTTGATGGACGAGTGGCAATCTTGCTGATTGCATAAAACTTTGGAAGTTCAAAGTATAAATTCCTGAAGTTCAAGTAAAATGTGATGAAACATTTAAAATTTTCAAACACGAACAAACGTATTTGTCAGAATTTAACTTTAAACATGGTAATATTATAGGTAATATTTAAAAAGATTCTACATGGATGTATAAAACGTAGGATTCAAACTCGAAATAATGAAAATACAAACAATCCTTTTTAAAAAGTTGTTCTATATAAGGGATTAGCTGCCCGATGTCTTGTCGGGAGAAACAGATTATAGGAAAATACCTTTACTATCTTTAGTTAAACTTGCCAAGGTATTAAAGAGATTGACTATAATAGATTAGATACGGTTTCTAGACGATTGTGAAACGATCAATTCACCAATTCTCACCATTTTTTAAAAGTATCATAATCGCTTATATCTTCTTCATAATCAACCAGCCATGAATCGTCACAAACCCAAGCTCCGTCTGAAACAGATTGCAAAACAAAATGCAAATAATGCAAAACGAAATATCACTGATTGATTTTGTAAGAACGCGTTTCAAAATGTCATTCTTGCATGAAACATTCTATGTGACTTCACAAACGATAGATATTATTTTAAATCAATCCTAAAAACTTTATATAGGGACATTTTATACTTTAGTACTTACGTAATTCGAAAAATAGAAGGCCGGGGTGGAGAGGGGTGTTACCACCTTGGCTGTAAAGTTTACGTGGCGTGCATTTTTGTATCTTCAATATGAATTGGACTCATAGCTAAATAGGAATCTTATATGAACGGAACATTTATTCGAGTCCACAACCCTTAATCTTAAAACGTGCCTGCTTTAGATTGAAAACTTCTATGTTTTATTTTCAGAAATGTTTAAACCAGTGGTGCGCAACAGACGGCCCGCGGACCAGAATCCGGTCCGCCAAGCCATTTAGTATGGCCCTCGTCAACACTCAGATTTTTCTCTATTAAGCATAAAACCCTAACTCAACAGTCCATGTTTTTATAAGGCACTCACATGGGTGAAAATACATAATGTTTTTCTGCTCTTGTCGCTGCGTTAAATCTTTCGCCGTTTTGCCCGTTGCCTTTATGACTCTAAGGCTGAGCGACAACCTTTTCATTGTGAGAATTTTATAATTTGTTGTGCATATGAAAAAATAAATTTTTCATGTGCTAGATGTCTGAAGTTGGTTATATGGCCCACCGGCGAAAATGTTGCACACCCCTGGTTTAGACTCACCTAAATCTGGAATTGTTGCAGATGAGCATAATGTCTTATCCAAAGATGATCCACCACTGATATCCGCAATAATAAAAACGAGTAAATAGACTAAAATCATTATTTTGTCTGTCATGAAATGAATATGGAAAATAATCCATTACTATGCATCATTTACCCCAATTTCACGATATTTCCACATTACTATGCTTCAAATATAAGCGTATACCTCCACAATTTAACTTATTTAATAAAAATCACTTTTCTGTTTAGTAAGTTGGAGTACTTAAAAGTCTAAACCCAATTGCTTTCTAATGGATTCTTTGTAGTAAACTCAAAAAATCAACCAACAGCTGCCAAACATCTTCGACGCTAAGTGACTGATGGCTAAAAATTATTGGCTCATACCCGATGCGCAAAACCTCTCTTGCATTAGGACCGCGGTGTCTTAAAAAGGCAATATCGTTTCTCTAACTTGCTTTTAATCATTCAATTACATTTTATTACTGATATAAAATAGCTTCGAATGTAGTTTTCAAATATTAATTTTTTATCTTTTTGCCCTTATTTTAAAATATTATGAGCTGTTAAATATTCAAGTGCTGACCTTTCAAAGCACTAAGTTGTCCCCATCAATAAAATATATTTCACACCATAATCATTAGGTACGGGCAAGTACGACTTTTGTTTAATTAATTTTATCTCCATCTATCCCATTACCAAATATCATAAAGCTGGTGGACTAATCAATTTTAACAACAACCTGCTAATGAACCTTACAACCTGTATGAGAACACATTTAAAACGAATGGTGTTCCTATCTAAAGCATAAAACAAGAATCAATGACTATTCGATCTCAGCATACCATTATATTATACACTGTATTCAAATCCACAAAATGACGAGTCAACGTCAGTGCGCAGAAACGTGAATCACAAATTTAGTGCAAGTTTTGTTCGTAAATGTATTGAAGTAGCTGGGTCGGGTCAGATCCACCTTAAAATGAATTAAAAATATAACTATGTTTGGGCATATAGTTATCATTGTTCACTAAAATATATTCAAATTAACATCCGTTGCATGCTTTCTTGCAAATTCGAATAACATAATCATTAGTTGAGCAGTATGATCAGTAAGTGGAGCCTAAAATTAAAAACAAATTCATTAGAGTTTTTAAATAAAAACTAAATCAATTATATGGTATGAATAGAAAGTCCCATCTTTTGCGTGATTTGTAAGAGACGAATGATGAAAAGATCTCGATTACAATTTATTATTCTCTAGTTATCACTCAAAGGCCAGAAACAAATTTAAAAATTCTGGCATAATGAATCGATGATACAAAAGTGTCAATATTTTGGAAAAATTTAAAATTTATGTTCAATTTCACAGAAAAAATAGGAAGAAAGGTAAGAATAGAAAAATCTTAGTCAATTTATCGGACTCCCACTCAAAGACGTTAAAGTATACGGGTGCCATATTCTATGCAATATTACTTGCTCAACGCGATCTCAATAGCATACCAAAGTGGCACCAATTGTTGGGCCACTTTGGTATGTGTTTAATTTCCTAAAGACATTATCATAGAACTCAGTTTCTAGCCCGAACTAAATCACCGAGATCACACAACTGCTTAGATTGCATACCAACGTATCACCATTATATAATCTGGAACAAAACTATCGGTTTTGATTTAAATTGTTTCCTATAATATAATTATAAAGTAGTTCAAGCTCTCCTAACCCCAGCATTCTCGACAACTCTTTCTGCATGTGTCTTTCATATAGCGGGGGTTCCTTTCACATTGACCGAGCATAGCCCAATTCGAACAAGAAGAGTACTCATCGACGCAGGCTTTTGGTGGATTAGTTGTGGTTGTTCCTGTAGTTATTGTGAAAGTAAATGTTCATTTGTGTATTTAAACACCATTTCAGTTCGTTAATTTTTTCCTGATAAAGTCGAGCTTATAATGTTTTACTCAAACCAAATAGCTTAAAACAATTTTCAAATCGTAAAAAATAGCAAAATTGTTTATTATCATGAAAAATTTGCTGTGTTGATGTTGATGTTCACCATCTGCTGCCCAAGTACTGCATGACTCTTCCATATCAGTACATGGAACTGGGTTTGTTCTTATTGCTGACGATGTTGTTGATGATGCGACAGTAGTTACATGTGATGTCGTTGAAGGCGCTACATTTTTTTGAACATGCATAAACAGAGTTTTAGTACAATAATACGAGGGTATAAAAATGCTTTCAATTTCTTAGATTTTGAAATCCACAATTACATTATTGACATTTTACCTGCGTTCAACTCAAAGGGCAGTTCAATCAACACTGATAGATGTCTGGTGAGTTTACCTGACAAAAATAACGTTAGAAATCTTTTCATTCATTTTGGTTAATTATATAATCCCTTCAATTTAATTTTTGAAACCTTAGTGGATTAGTTATAATAGTAGGTTGTCTAGTTGTAGTAGTGATCTTGGTTGTCGTAGTAGGTTTGGTTGTGGTGGGGGGTCGGTTGTTCCTGTAGTTATTGTGAAAGTAAATATTCATTCGTGTATTTAAACACTATTTCAGTTCGTTAATTTTTTCCTGATAAAGTCAAGCTTATAATGTTTAACTCGGACCAAATAGTTTAATACAAATTTCGAATCTTGAAAAATAGCAAAATTGTTTGTTATCAAGAAAAATTTGCTGTGTTGATGTGCAAAGTTTTATGATCTTAACATCTTCAATAGGCATACAATATAGAAATCAATATTAGTAAGTTTTCTTCAGTGTTCAAAACACTTTACAAATATTATGGAATCGTACCAGGTGGCTTGGTTGTACAGGCTTTACAACTTTTCTTACAAAGGACCAACATGATATCTGGACTTTTTCGGCATTCACCATCTGCTGCCCAAGTACTGCATGACTCTTTCATATCAGTACATGGAACTGGGTTTGTTGTTGTTGCTGACGATGTTGTTGACGGTACGACAGTAGTTAAAGGTGATGTCGTTGAAGGAGCTGCATTTTTGTGAAAATGCATGAACAGAGTTTTTGTACAATAAAGCAACACAACATAATTTATTATATATATATATGTTCGTGCATCTGGCAAAATCCTATTTAGTGATTTGAATGAAACAATAAACGATAAACACATTCGAGAACAGACGTTGCTAGGTATAACAATTCTACCATTATGAAATGTTCATATGCACCATGTAATAAATGCCGGGTTGGTTATGTATTTCTGAGCATTACCAATTATAAATTTACATGCTTTTTTACCGAACTCGTGATATCTATGCTGTATGAAATATATATTTAATTCTCACAGTTCTTCTAACACTGTTTGCTGTGCAGTATTCAAATATATAATATTTTAAACAGAATTACCAGCTCTTGCGTAGAACATAAACTTCGGAATGCAATCATCATCAATTGCAAGTGTTCCGATCGTCAATTTCCAGTACGGGGCTCTCCATGCGAAACCACTGTATTCTTCGTATAAGCCACCTACAGAGGTGACATTCTGGAAATTGAATTATGTAATTTGAAAGTATATATATTCTATTCTGAGTATTCCTGCAGTAACACGCAAACTATTTTTTACATCAAGTAGAAAGGTTGATCAGTGATCACACTAGTACTACTGACAATGATGTAAAAACATCGACGTCCGTTTTCGGTGGTAATAATTCTCTGCAAAAGTTTTGGTACTTCCGTAGTGTCTACCGGGTTTGGGTTAGGCCATAATTTTATTCTGATTTTCTCTATTTTAGTTTAGTTTCCATTACTATTGGGGGCCTGTCTACTATGTAAGCCAAGTGAATATACCCCCTGCCAATAGGCTTCAGTCTCTTTGCACAACTTGATGTAAAGGAGGTGAACAAAATTAGTTACCTCGATATTGGTGCTCAATCTTCTGGAGCACCAAAGTTTTTAGCCTAAAAAACTTTTACATGGCATGTTTGGAACTTTCTACCAATTTTACAATTCGAAGAAGTTATCAATGTAAATAAAACACGAGACTGATTCTGAGAAGTCGCGGAAGAGTCGAGAAAATTTGAAAAATGATACTTTTTTCAGAAACAACACCAAATATTAATGCTATTTCAAAGTTTTGCTGTTATGTTCTCAGAACATAACATGCCTTGAGTATTTCCTGTGAATAGGTCACAAATGGACAGCATTGTAGCCGCCGTCACCATGAGCGACAAGAGTATGACAATAAAGAAACCTCATATATACTTACACGCACGCTACTTAAAATGAGTAGCCAATTACGGTAAATGCAAATAACGGATAGACTCACTGGAATTTTAATCGTGATCCAATGGGATTGAGTGGCGTCAGCAAGATTCTCATCATAACCTTTGATGAATCTTTCATCCCATACGGATGCTGACAATCGAGCTATAACGAATGTTCCTGGATCACACTTCGATGGACGAGTGGCAATCTTGCTGATTGCATAAAACTTTGGAAGTTCAAAGTATAAATTCCTGAAGTGCAAGTAAAATTCGTAAACATTTGACATTTTCAAACAGGAATGGATTTGACATATTTTACCTTTTAACAGCTTAACATGGTATTATAAAAGGTCATTTTTAAAAAGATGGACTACATGGATGTATAATACGTACGCTATGAGTTTGAAAAATGAGGAAAAAAAATTAGTTCTATATACATAAGGAATTAGTTGTCCAATGTTTTGTTGGGAGAGACAGATTATAAGAAAACGTCTTTAGTTAAACATGCCAAAGTATTATTAGTAAATTAGCGTTCAACGTGATATGGTTTCAGGTGATTGTAATGCGACCAATTCACCAATGGTGACCAATTCTCACCATTTTTTAAAAGTATCATAATCGCTTATATCTTCTCCGAAACCAACCAGCCATGAATCGTCACAAACCCAAGCTCCGTCTGAAACAGATTGCAAAACAAAATGAAAATAATGCAAAACGAAATGTCACTGATTGATTTTGTAAGAACGTGATTCAAAATGTTATTGTTGCATGAAACCTTCTATGTGACTTCACAAATGATAGATATTATTTTAAATCAATCCTAAAAACTTTATATAGGGACGCATTATACTTTAGTACGTAATACGTATGTAATTCGAAAAATAGAAGGGCGGCTTGCGGAAACCACTATGGCTGTAATGTGAAAAGCGTCGTGCATTTTTGTATCTTCAGTAGGAATTAGACTCACTGCTTAACAGGAATCTTATATGGATGGGATATGTCTTCGAGTCCAAAACCTTAGTTGAAACGTGCCTGCTTTTTATTGAAAACCTTTATTTTCAAAATTGATTATACTCACCTAAATCTGGAATTGTGCCAGATGAGCATAATGTATTACCCAAAGATGATCCACCACTGATATCCACAATAATAAAAACGAACAAATAGACTAAAATCATTATTTTATCTGTCATGAAATGGTAATTGAATCTATTACCACTCATTATTTTCTCCAGCGGTATTTTCCATTACCTTGCTTGAAATATAGGCCTATATCTCCTCCATTTCATTATCAATAAAAATCACTTTTTGGAATACTTAAAAGTCTAGCCCCCAATTGCTTTCTAATGGATTCTTTAAAGTAAACTCAAAAAATCAACAGCTGCCAAGCATCTTCGACGTTAAGTGACTGATGGCTAAATATCATCAGATTATTTCAACTTTATGCCACTGCGCAAAATATCACCCACATTATAATGGTGGTGGCATATAAAACACTATTGATTCTCTAATTTTTTTTTTAATCATTCAATTACATTTTATTACTAAAACGAACGGTGTTCGGAAAATTGGAATAAAATTAGGGCCTAACCCTAACCCGGTACACATACTATGTTCAGGTTTCTGCCATCTTGGATCACATACTACGGGAGCGCCTTCCTAATCTAATACATACAACAAGAATCAATGACTTTTCGGCCTCGGCATACGCTTATATTATACACTGTATTCAAATCAATAAAATGACGAATCAACGTCAGTGCGCAGAAACGTGAATCCCAATTTTAGTGCCAGTTTTGTTCTTAATGTAGCGGGGTCAGTCCAAATCCACCTTGAATTGAGTCCAAATTTGGGATTTTTTTTTGAATGATATCATTCCATGGCTTTACAGAATTCAATATTTAAGTTCAATATATGCGGAAAATTAATGCAATGCCAGAATAATTTAACAGGATGTACGTGAGTTATTTGGTCAATAAATCATTCAGGCCCGCTAACTTTTTTTCAGTTCGGCTCCTGTTTTTAAGTGCTGATTTAAATAAAGGAGGTCGTTTCAAACTTTGAATAGAAATATGAATTTTAATCGGCATGCTCGGAACTTGAATTACTATATTGTTTTGTGCAAAATATATAACATTCAGACGTATTAGAAATATGTTACCACTAAAATGAATCGATAACGTGAAAGCATTGCTGAATGGAGAGCAAAGAATTATGTATTTGTATTAGCAAGAATTGCCCATTCCAGATTTTGAATTCACTTCATCAGTACGTAGATTCGAATTAAAAAGTAAACGACATTTGGCCTAGTATAAAACAATTGCAACTGGATGACGCTCGTTCACACGGAGTGCTTACTCCACACCAATATAGACGGTGAAATCCACAAAGCCCTGTTTTTATTTTGTTTATTTTAATTTTGTGATAATTCGTTATTAGGCAGAAAGTTTCATATGCAGCTTCCTTCATCCAGTTGAATCGCTTTTGGATGAAGTGGGTACCTGAATTCGAGGCAGCGTTTTATCTTTTTTTCCTTGCTCTCCTCGACAACCTGTATAAATAAACTTTCAAAGTGAATATTGCGGATGAATAAGCAGCAATGTCTGTACTCTTCAAATTTATTCAGGGTCTTGTTTTTGAGAGATAGAAAGGCCCAAAATGCTCTTCAATTTTCTGCCATTGGGGCAACGTGAATAGCTAATTAAATTTCTTTTATATGTGACCTGTAAGTCTACTCGCAGTATAAGTTCCATATATTTCTTTCATCATTGTTTGCAACCGATTACTTGATATATTTGGAACATGCAGGTTCTTCCAAACTTCATTGAAATTCTTGTGTTGCGCTTTCGACAAATCCCTGAAATTTGATAGTTTTCGAAGTAGAACTGTCCAATTTAAGTATTGTTAACAGAAGACTCCAGATAAAGATATTAGGGTTAACCTGTTCTACATGTAGGCGTCAATATATAACTGATTACTCTAATAGTTAAAACTGGTTTTGAGGAAATCCACAATTTGAATCAACGAGATTATAAAGTCATTGCAAACTTAGAAATAGAACCATGAAAACTAACAAGCGAAATCAGGCTACATTAAAACTACTATTTTCGCTATTCCCTGTGATAAAAAGTTACTCCAACTCGAGTAAACCTAATTCAATGAATACAGTTGCTGTATAACAATAATCGTCAGGGTGTGAGTAATCAGCGCGCCATGGATAATAATCTTTTGGTCGATAAAACAAGGTCTTCAGCAAAAAGCAACTAAGAAACCACTTTCCATATGCTACAGGTGGTAAGGGATCAGCTAAAAATACTTTTGTAATATTTACCAATAGTAGCCTTCCTTGACATTCTGTACTTTCATTCTGATATCATGAATGCGATCACATGTTTTTGGTTCTTTGACATTTATCCGAGGAAGTTTCACTCCATAATTGACAATCTGTGATGGACACCATCCCGGTTGTTTACGCCTGCCCTGATTCGTTTTCTGAGTTCCTGGATGTTTCATTTAAAATAGATAGCATTTGATAGATTAAATAAATTACCGAAAACAAATTATTCAATTAAACCAGCGTTATAACACGTAATCAGAAAAGATAACTTGATGTACAAGATTTTGAACCATCAATTCTACAACGTAAAAAGTTCATAAGTAGCAATCTTTTATTGCCAATTTAAGATCTATCTAACCATCGAGGCAATACATGCAAGTTTTTGTCATGATAATATTAATCACATCCAGGTTGCGATAAATTGTGCGAATAAATCAAATACCTCTTTTTAATAAAAGCAATAAACTCGTTATGCAAAGTTTGATTTTCGAAATTTACCCGTTAAAAATTTAAAACACTTATAAACAACTTTAAGATGGGTTACGCGAGACTAACTCCCTAGTGGATCCGTATGCGTATACTACATGCTCTAGCAGGAATAAACAAGACGACTATTCTATTCGACAAACTGCTTGTCTGAGGAAATCTGACTTCGGTCGGACGAAACGTGACAGAAATACTTTTGTGTTGGTGTTGAGCAGGACTTATGAATTGGATAGATCTTATAAACAAATTGCTATATGCCCATAAATCGACTGTAAAACTCGTATAGTCAGATGCTCGAGAAACATTCGCTAAAATATTGCCATTTTTGATTTATAGGCCTATTATGTTTATATTAACTTATGTGAACCTCACCAGTGGGTGTTAAAATCAGTTGTATAGGATGGGCATAAGGGCTATTTTTCTTCTTTTCATCTCCCTCATTTTCAGCCATCTTTTTTATATTTTCAATTTGGTTAAATATTTCTTTCTCAGTCAAACCCAAAGATCGAGCACCTGAAATTAATATTTGATTTTATGTAATTTTGTACGTGTGGAAATTATTCGCAATTGAAATAAAATTAACAAAACAGACGAAAAGTATATCGAAGAAATCAAATACATTATCATATGATATTTAAGTATGAAATTGAAACTTATTTATTGGAAACTAAAATCTGCGTCTGTTTCTATTTGAACACTTCTCAAATGAATATTTCAAACGTAAAAGCATTACCACAAAAATCGTTGACAAAATATTTTACTCACCATTGGCATAATGATGAACAACATGTGCGGCATGCATGAGGTTATGTTTCTTTGCAGCAGTTTTCAATTTCCTTGTGTAATAGCCAACTATTTCATTGCGTTGATTTTCTTTCAAACAACTTCTTGATATGAATTGGGACATCACCTATATCAAAAATAAATCATCTCATTTCAATAATTTTCTTCAGAATCCTCATCGGTAGATGTCGCCCTCTGTGCTGCACAGACTGCAAGTTTGAATGCTTTTCAGAACTGAGTAAAGACTTTTCCCTGTATATGATTAAAACACACCCACCTCATACATCAGAACATCTTTATAATCAGGTTTGTTTGGAGCATGAAGTCCACCAATCAATCCCATAAATATGTCTTCATTTGTCATGAAATTTAGATATTCTTCAAAATCGAGTTCACCGTTCCCGTTTTCATCCTAAAAATTGAACCTTGGGTTGTTCAAAAATTGGGTATATTCTTCAAATAGGCATTTTTCAATTACAAACGTAGGTAATTATCAATGGCGCGCTAATCTTGCGTCCCATCTTGGCCTACATTTCTATATTTTCACCATATTTTATTGTCAAAACATTACCGGGTGAACACACATTAGCCTTCAACGGTGACCGTACATTTGAACCCATGTACATTTGAACCCATGCGTATATCCACGGGTTCAATCTATATGCGGGTGCTAAAACCCATGGGTTGGGGTTAGTATGGGTTTAACTATCCGTGAAACAAAAAAAATTCCATAGGTGCAATAGCATACAGGTGAAATTGTTCAAATGTAATGGAACCGCCTTCAACATCTATGAGTAAAAACAGGTTTAACAGCGTACATCCCAAATGACATAGATTGTAATAAGTTTGCATGCATAATATTTTAATAAATTTAAAACAGTGAAATAGGCAAATAGACCACAGCATCCGATCTCAATTGATAACGATATAGCCCTGTTATCTGACATGAAACTATATGCAAAACTAATTATCTTCTTAATACTTACACAAGTAACCTACCTGAGCTACGATCAAGTCGTAAACGACACTTTCATTAACACTGACTCCAACTCGGCGTAACGTTTCCAAAAATTCCTCACAGCTAATTCGACCGTTCCCTTTGTGGTCAAAAAGCTAAATTCAGAATCAAATTAACATTTGACCATACATGAAGGTAAATTAGGCCAGGTCAATATTCCACTTGAGTAAATAAAATGTGCAATCTGTTGAAATTTAAGTATATTAGAGTCGGGCCTGGTGGACGGGCACAATTCTGCTGCTTGCAAATACCGTGCTAGAGAGCTTTTTCTGAAACAGGAATGTTTCCTACGTCTGTAAGCGACGTCAAGATCACACCGGTATTGGTTCGAAATTAAAAAAAGGACGTAATATACTAAGATTTGATAAAAATATAGATGTGCTTCAGTAGTCAAAATGATTTTTTTTTAAAGAAAAAACTATTACCGTGAAAGCTTCATAAAAGGCGCCCAATTCGTTCTTGGTAAGTTGTCTGCTTGCGGGAATCAGACGAGATTCATCTATCTGCATCTTGAATTGTACTTTTGCTTTTCCCTCTTCATTTGGGTGACTTGATGCCCTCCTTCCCCTGAAAAGTACATTATAAATCTTCATTTCCCCCAAATGCTTCAATGGGGTATACGCGAGAGTCGGCCACATGGATTGTATGTGTTGGCCTGTGCATTAAATTGCTTACCCATTCGATCCGTTGGCCATAATTGCCTTTTTCTTTTCTGAAGACAAGCTTTTAAATATTTTCACATATCTGGAATTTAAACTATTCTAACTATTTATCAAAGTGTCCCTAACCTAATCTAAAATACAGCGAGAATGTTCACCGGGATGATACAACTTGTTTTCAGTGCTAGCCTCCTTTCAAAATAACCAAATCTTTGTTTACATTTTTGACTCGCACTTTTACAACCTGTTGCGTAATAATAGAAAATTGCAGTATGACATCATAAATATGAATATCAGGCATGTGAATAATTTAATTCTTAAGTTATTGCTTTAAAAGTTAATTACTTTCAAAGAAAATTTGTCGATAAAATTTAATCATTGACTTGAACTTAAAATGCTGTAGTCTATTAGTTAGTCGAATGGATTCCCCCGTGCTTATTTGCGGAGCGTTGGCTAATAAACGTTTTGCAGCCACTCGGACACTTTTAACTTGGAATGATTTGATCACTGGCTTGCTTTCGAGGAATTTTCCAGTTTTTGTCGCATTTCCCGAATATTATGTATAAACAAAATAACTCAATGAATATTTTAATTTCTGGAGAGTTTTAATTTCGTTTCCGTAATCGAAAATAGTCCCGGAATATCTGCCGATCATCTCAACCAGCTAATGCATCTTGCATCCTCCACGATTACGACCCGCTTTGACAAACTTATTAAAAGTCAAAGCCAAATTAAATGTCCGTTAGTCTAGGGGTGGGCAAAATCGAATATTTTTTCGAATCGAATAATTTGAATATTTTTAACAAATACCGAATGGTCGAATAATGAATATTTGTTTTTATACACAACAGGGATCCAGAACGTCGGAGGTCGATACTCCCTTTGGAAATTATTAGAAACATTGAAGTCGGCAATAAAGCGGTATTTTACTGGTTAATGGTTAATTTCATCATAATCGCTGATTGTCTTCGTGATCGCGATCGTCTCGACGGCGATATTGGTAATCTATATTCCCGCCCTCGTTTTTTGCAAGTATGAGGGGCAGCCGAATATCGAAGTTTCATATTTCTAGTATATCCTTGCGTTCACATCAGCAGCAGCTGTTGAAGACATTAAGGACCGATTTCAAAACCAAATTAGTTTTATTCCGAGTTTTTCATCTTCTGCCTATGCTTTGATCTTACTTATCACCGCTTGTAATTTAACCCTGCCTGTTTAAAGTGAACGTTAACCGAGATGCAGATATTTATTCAAACGATAATTGGGTTTCTCGTGCTTTTCTATGGTGTTCGTGTTATTCTAGTATTAGATAGATAAACCTCGCAAATCTGCGATTGCGAGAATCCTGAATGTTGATTTAAAATAGCGATTAAATAAATTGTCAATAAAGGCATTTCTAAGCTTTTGGGTCTAATAGAGCAGGGGTGTGCAACCTTTATTACAGGAGGGCCACATACAAGTAACTGGGCGAAGCCGCGGACCGCACCTAGAAACTTTACAAAAAATTCAATTTGAAAATTCTTCTCGTAAAAATATTGCTTTGGCTAACGTAAGATTTTCTACATACGAAAACTTAAAAAACGTGTGTAGTAGTATTTTTTTATTTTAGGTCAATTTTAATGCAGTGCTTGAAAAGAGATGCCCAATTCGAGTTTAATATATGACTATCGCGACCTTCGAATATCGTTTTCAGTGTTTATAAGAATATCGAATATGGCGCAGATATTCTAGCGCCGCCGTTCACGTTTTGGTTTAAAACATTTTACGATTATTTCATTTTTTATTGCAGTCGAAGGCAGTCGTGCGCAGCGCGGCAATAAATATGTCATGTCATTTGCCCGTTTGTTTCCCGCGGGTGCGTATAATGTGTTTGTTGCTAGCGAAATTTAGTCAAAAAAAATTGAATTTCATGTGTGTATGCTGGGTGTTTTCGTACATAACGTTTCCTCTTAGCTGTCAACTTTCGCCGCCGTACTCCCGCTCTCCACGGTCTTCGTTTAAACTAGCCTAGTCGGCCAACGCCCGAGATAAACAAACATATCGGGGTTTTTATTCGGTATTTCTGTTCTTTCTTCATTCCCCGTGTACTTTTATTATTTATTATGCAGTAATCTAATTCTAACATGTACTTGTTACAGGCTTTAACCATTATCATATATAACTTATATACAAAAAAATTATGTCTGATTTCTGTGGCTGCATAGAACGGATTGGGGCATTTACGTGTGAAATGCGACACTACTTACTGAATTTTCGACCTAGGAATGGGCTTACGGAACAAATTAGTTTCGTAGGTAGAGTTTCTAATGTAGTTGCAATACATAACTCATTCATTAGATCACCGTGCACGTTACCTATTTTTATCGAAATAATGAAAACATTACACCTAGCATTATAGAATTTTCACACGGCACATTTTCCACATCGTGGACCCGGGAGTTCATAAGGACAGGTACATCTTGAGGCCTCAAAGCATTTGTTTTAAGTCCACCACGGGTGCTGTAATTCCATTATTTAAATCAGGGGTCAGCAAACTTTTTTGACCGCGGGCCGGGTATGACTCAAATTGTGTTGAAACGGACCGGATGAATATTTTTGTCAATGCAATACAATAAATTCACAAATGTTGGGAATATCGCAGAATATAGATCGAGAACATCCTAGGAAATTTTTTTTTTTTTTATATCTGGATTTCTATATCTGGACAACTATCCTGAGTTTAGCTGTTATCAAAACGTTGCTGTCATGAATTAGAAATGTTACAAAACCCGCGGCAAAAAATGTACGCATCGCGTCTGCTAGGTACCGTTACGCCGTGTTGAAATACCGCTCATAAAAACGACTAACTGCTGTAGCTTGGAATTCTATGAAATTTTGACATAATTTAGATAAAATAAACAACTATTATCTGGTATTTGATTTTTTTCATTAGCGAATAAATTTCCCAACATTCGACGCTTTTAAAAATTACGCTTCAGTTATACGTAGTGCCAATTATTGATATTGTCTATGGACACCAATAAAATTTATGTGGACGTGTGTATTTCTTTCCTAACTTGATACAATTTTTATGAAGTTCGTACAATCAGAACACCGTTAATTATTACCCACAATGAACCACTGTCAAACTATCATGCACAACTCCAGCGTTTATTTGCGACGATCTTTCGGCGGTGTCAATGACCGTTGCCAGAATAAAATCCTGAAATATACCATAGATGTGACGCACATCGAAAGATTAGTGATTGATATGTGTTATTTTTCCATATTTAGTTCAGTTCTTATCAAAAAAGTAATACAATCATTATGGAAAAAATTGGCCTGTCGGGCGGTACTGAAATTCCGATATCTCCGTTATTTCTTGACCGTTTAATATAAACTTGGTATTGTTTTCTATTTTTACTCAGATCTTTCCACTGGAACAGTTTTTATTCATATCGGATGGACTTCATTTTTTTTGTAACATACCTACATGAATATCCGCATTTAAGCAGTACAAAAATTAGTGTGGCTTTTGAAATTGGAGCAGTACGCGAGGGATTACAGTACTGTTAGCACAAAATGCACATTCGACGTTTATTTTAGCACAAAAAACAAACAGTTTCGTCGAAAGCACGCGCCACGAGTGTACAAGTGTATCGCAGAAAACGTTACGTACTGGTAGCATTCGAAGTCGCAAAAACGAAGTTTGTTTACAACCACGACTGAAAATCTGTCAGGGTGACAAAAGTGTCTGAGCGGATGCGGAAAGGCCTATTATTACGTCACTTTTTTGCATCTTGCCGATTGGCCAATGTTACGAAATAAACAAAGACGACGATGCTCGTGAAAATCTCCCATGGAAAAAAATTTAGACATTTTTGTGTGTTATTGCGGACCGGATAAAATGACCCCGCGGGCCGGATAAAATGACGTCGCGGGCCGGATCCGGCCCGCGGGCCGTAGTTTGGTGACCCCTGATTTAAATCGTCGTTATTTCGGGATAGCATCATATTATTGAATTGTAAACGTGCTGCTCTATGAATCTTTATCAATGCCTGATCGGTTGGATCAAACAACGTTTCTTCGTTTTCGGAACCGACGTGCAAAGTAAAAGATTGGTAACCGGTGGGAAATGTACAGAAATCGTTCGCCAATAATTCTTGAAGTTCGGGAATGCTTGCTATAGTATATACTTAAACGAGGTAAATGTATCTCGTAAAAACTAAATTCTTTTCGTCGTCGTCAAAATACTCAGATATTGGAGTCAATGAACACTTGCACACATGGATTCATCGTACAATATGAAATTTGTAAATTGGTATTATATGCGCTGAGGGCAATCTCGATCTGTGATATTTCTTCGTCACCTGCAGAGGAAATAATAAGAAGGTTACCTTTCTCTTTTACACTTGTCGACAACGAAGAATAGCTCTCGTACTTAAGATTTGTCGTTTTGTCATTTCTTGAAGTATTTAATTTTGTATTGGTGAATCGAAACAGTTTTTTGAAATTTCATCTATGAAACAAACGATTCCGAAATATAATCCTTTAAATCTAACCAGCATAAGGTGATACTTGTCAAAAACGATATTTAACTGCGGTAATCGACGCCTTCAAATGTTACCTGGGTTGCCGACTGTCGTCCCGTCTGCAAATATTGCTTCAGCGACGCTAAGTTGGGTTCGTATGCTGACAAAAATGTTAGTCGATAAATAAAATATTTCACGCTTCAAATAATGAGAACATTATGAAAAAATCTGAGAATTGCATTTGCAAATAAATATGCCAATAATAAAAGTTATACGCCCCAAATCCACAACCTCTATCTCATTTTTGCACACAAAGTTACATAATGCAAGATATGAGGTTTCTATTTTATCCATGATCCCCACTAGTTACCATATATCAAAACAATATCATGTCTCAACAACCTGATTGGGTGAAGTCCAGTATTTCTTTTTCCAGTCTTAGTTATACCCATTCCAAGACGTGTCGCGAACGAAGAGAAACCTACTGTAAGCAAGAGCAGGTACCTGAACGCCCCCATGTTCTTTAAATGAGTAATAGTATTTGCAGCGGTCCATTTTGATGGTTGACGAAATCATTATATTTCTCAATACTAGAATTGTGATTTCAAACAATAGCTTGGTTTCACAAGAATCTAAGCGGTGAACAACATGATATAAAGAGACAATACAATGACTGACAAAATCGAAACATGTCGTTTTTT